CTGTCCGCTCCAAGATAAACACAACTTAATCCTCTCTAGCCAAGTGACTTAACCATCAACTTTCCCCCGTTTACTTCCTTTTCTCCACGTTAGAAAAAAACTATTGTTTGCTGTGAGCGACGCGGCAGAAACTGTCCCCCTTTTGAAGGCGTGGGTAAAGGAGAACGATGCTCCAGCTTTTTTAGACTGTCTGGGTTTATTCAGGTGAAACTGTGCTCGCCGGCACCTCCTTTGGGACCTAAGTGGTAGAAGTAGTGCGGTTTATGTTACCGACAAATTACCTGCTGTCCTCCGGTCGGTTCTGGGCTCATTCAACTGGCTCCCGGGCGCTCCACCAGTCAACACGCACACTTACGACCAAGCGTAAAATCTACAACGTGCTGTTCTTCCCGAATGCGCCCCGTAGCTTCTTTTTGGCTGCTTAAGTGATGATTATCTTCCTGTGGATTACTACTCGAAAAAAATATATACTTATTACTGTTTTCATCATCCCCCAAAGAAGACGAAGAGGAAGGTACGAGGACATGGACCGAATTATATTGAGACTGACGTTTCAGACACTCGCTTGGGTCCATCATCAGGGTAACTTGGTGACTGTTCCTGTTTTCCGAGGCTGTTTCAGCCTTGCCGCACGCCTCGTATTATATCCGTGTTCGACGCATGAAATTGGACCTGCCTGTACGCTGCTGACTGACTGTGAGATTGACCGCTAGTGGGCTCGTGTCACCTTTGTCCCCCTTGCGGCTGTAGTAATTGTTGGCAAGTCAGCGTGCTTAGTGGCCTGACCCTCGTCCACCGACGGACTAGTCACTTGTTGCTGCTCGCGTAAATTGATGTCAATCTCGTGGGCGCGGCGGTGATGTAGTGTTCCATGCTGGTGACTTTATTCCTGGCCGCCTCCTCTCCTATTTTCTTCTGATCTCAGTTATAGTCCGCGCTTGAGTTTGCCTTGCCGTCCTATTAGCCTTGTTCGAACTGACTCGGGCCGTGCGCGTACCGCTTGGTAGGCGAGATGATTGTCTTGGAATATGACACAAGGCCACCCGTATTAAGAACAGTGTCTGTCGGTAAGAATAAATCGTAGACGCTCCCAATGAACGAAACGTACTGGTGATGGAAATTGTTTTAATGGTGTTATTGCTCTATGTGCTTGCATTGTTAACCAATAGGAG